TTGTCATTATTAACTTCATATATTTTTATGGTAATACTAAAAATTCTTAATTTAAATAAATGTTTTTGAGTTTGACATCGTGTTTATAATTTTTTGTTAAGATTTACTAGTATACTGGTAATGGTTAGAGATTTTGTTTGTTAAAATCTATAATTACATTATGTGTATTATTTACTACATTTTCTTTATAAATGCAAAACTTTAAAATTTATAAACTTAGCAAAACTTAAAACACTAACCAAATGACTATAACCGCTATTGACCGACAAATAGCCAGTCCCTGGTACTGAGTTTCTTGGTATACATAAAAAACATATTTTAAAATAGACTATAATAATGTAAAAATAAATCAATGCCCAGTATACAAACTTTTAATTAGAAATTATACTAAAATGAGTTCATTATAAAAGTTTTAAATGTCTGATGTTCAGTTATGCCATATATTATTAAATTGAATAGCAAGTATTATTTAAAACAATTTTAAAAACTATTTTACAGCTAACTATTAATATTTAAAATGATACATACCAAGATCATTTCCGGATGAAAAGTAGTCTCCCGTTCCCGTAATGACCGCCAATTTTACCGACCCGTCCCGGGAGGTGTCGTTTAATACATTACGCAACGTATCAAACATTTCACTACTAAATGAGTTAAACCTTTCCGGTCTATTTAGTGTTATTATGCGAACACCTTGCTTATTCTCCACCAATACAATATTATTGACCACCTTGGTAGTTGAAAATAATTTAGCACTTATACCGATATTTTTACCGGTAACCGGTTTCAACAGTATTTTTGACTTTATAGCCACATTTAGTTTAATTTTCATTATAGCATTCATTTTGAATAATTTTTAAGCAATGTTAGATTTTTATGTAAATATATTATTGAAAACTTTGGCACAAAATAATTTGTTAATAAAAATATAAAATATTTCTAAAAAAATCTAAATAACTAAGCTTACTTAAACAAACTGCTAGCTTAATTACTAGCACACTGGTTATTGTCATAAAATGCATTAAATTATATAAACAAAAACATTTTAAAGGCGCATACTCCAATTGAACTCGCATGTTTATTAATTCAACAACCTGTTATTTGAAATATGTCCTTGGACACCCAGACTGGTCTTTTATAAAAATAATATAACATATTATCTTACTATGTACATCTCTATTTTATTTATACACTATCTAGTATATATAGTATGTATAGTTCTCCCTAGAGTACATTATTTAAGTATATTTTGCAGACTTCATGGCTACACCGTATTAAATGTGAGTTGCACTTAAATGTACTCATGTAAAGCACTTAAATATTGAAGTAAGCAATAAATAAAATAAACATGATAATTGTCATGGAGTTTCATTAATAACTACTTGACAAAATATGCTATTTTTATTTTTAATACGCATAGGCAATAATAAATCTATTGTTTCTTAACATCATTGTATTATTTTATTTTAAAACTCACATTATATAACTAAATTGTGCTAGATACTACAAAAGTAGATGCTACAAAAGTGTTAAAAAGTCTTTTAATCCCATAATGAATATAACATACGGACTGTCCACTTATGGAAAGCCAATTGTGATTAATGAGGGCACCGATGGCCTACCAGCATATCGGCTACTATTTGTGTTTCTAATAATCACCTGGTTCATTTTCTTAAAAATCCGCGAAATACTCATATACCGGGCTATTAGACGACACCACCGTTTGGATCAACAACAACAGCCTGGGTATACCACAAGTATATCTAACTGGGTATTCATTTTATACGCTATAAGCTCTATCATACATACTGTCCACTACGTGGACAATATATGCCGTCCAGTTGACTACTATGAACCCAAATACTTGTACCAAAAGTACGTCATCTCCACAATGGAAATAACGTTTGCCATAAACTTTCCCATCATTATTACAGGTAGAATAAAATTAATGCGCCTAGCTGGCTTAAATAATTTTAAAAATATTTTTTAAATTTTATTATCTAGGTTATTACGGGCTAACACGGCTACTCGGGTCACTGTCCAAGGGTCACAAAAAGTGTATCAATAAATATTGTAGCCTGCTACTAATTTACAACTTGCTCACTTTATTATCGGTACTACACTATAGAATAGAGCCCATACAGTCGTTTGATAAATTGGTAAATGCTAATATACTAGGTGCTATATTGCTAGCCATATGCCTTACAGTAGCTATTTGTTTTACCCTCTACCTAAATAAGCAAGATTATTTTTGGCAAAACAACACTGATGCAATTAAGTTTGCTCACAATTATCAACGTTTTCTCGATGATAGCGATGACGACGAGATTGAGTCGTTTAATATGCAGGTGAAGGGGGCTGTTAGACAGAGATCCCGTTCCCAAACCCCTACTAAATAATCTGAATTTTAAAATAATTTAGTAACAATAAAAAGTTTAACGGTGCGCAATACCAATACCAATTTATAGTTAATCCGATATACCTAGATATTATTATCCTCATAATTCATTAAGTTACAGTTTAAAATAAATTTTTGTTTAAATTATATACTGTTATTAAACATTGTGAAAGTGCATTTATCCAGTATAATTAAATAGTTTCTATAACCATTTTTATTAAAAATAAAAAATTATAATAATTAATAAAATATTATCTATAATTTCTAAGTAATAATCATTTTTTAAAATAAACATTTTAATTATGGACTACTTTACAAATAAATAAATAATTTATTTTAAAAACAAATAAGCTAGCGTAATAAAATAATTATAAAACTAATCAGGTTCAATATCACTGAACCTATTACTACAAATGTAATTTAAAAATAACTACACAATAGCTTAGGTAAACCAAATGTCAACACAAATGAAATAGATGCAATC